AAGTTGGCTGGGGAATTCTGGGAGTTGAAGTCCGCCAGGCTTAAAGTGGCCAAGGTTGGAGACCCCTGCTATACTCTACTAGGTACTAGTCCTCAACTTTCGACCACAATTGAGCCCAAAATTTAGGCTGTTAAGTGAGAGATTTGTTCAATGAGTTTGCTCCGTTTTTTTGGCAGTTCGAGGCTCACCAGGCTCAAGGTTGACTCAGCCTTCCATCCTTCTGAGGTGGGTCAAATGAGGACCCAGATTGTTAGGGGCAATATGGTCATGAGTCACTTTTTTCCATCGTATCCTCAGTCACTAAAGGAACTGTTGTTAAGTTGAGGACTACCTGGATATGTGTGTTTAGCTTTTTTTTCAAGTGTAAACTTGATCTTTAAATTTCTTGTGTTAACACCAGCTAAGAATATATTGCAATTGAAGGTCCCCCACCCTCATCCCCATAGAGACAGAGGGAGAGAAATACTGCATTCAGTAGAGAGGGGAAAAAATAGTCTTATTTTTCTGTGCGAGAATGAGAGGAATAAAATACCCTTGTTTCCTGTTTATCATTTTCTTGTTATCATAGTATTTCCCTAAAGTTCCCTCGAAAAAAGGTCAGCACAATATTGCGGTGAAGTTATGTTCCAAAATCATCCTTAAAATATAACCCAGTATTTTGCTTATGGGAAATGGGAGACAAGGTAATCGGACTGATGTAATTTAAAATTATTTTAATTTGGCCTGGTATCATTCCCATATTAGACAAGTGCTTTAGATAATTCTATTCCTCACCCCCATCCACCCCCAGATTTTATAGGGAAGCTTTTTCCACCGTCCAGTCAGAGCTGAAGAAGCTTTTTGGATGAGAAGTGAAACATCTCCAAAGAAAAAACCAGAAAGTCCAGTTGCTTCCTGAAAAAGCACCTTTGGGATATAGGCTTGACAAGAAAAGCCTAAAAAAGATAAAGGGGGAGGCGGGGAAGCTTGTCCTTGGACCCACAGATCATTCTTTCAATTTCTACTTGGTGTTCTTCTCTCTACCACCATATCTAAATGAATATCTACAAACCCATCACATCCTGGATATAATCTATTTCACCTCAGGATGCTGCTATAGAGCATCCCATGCCAAAACAGCTAGACCCAAAGATAGTTTTTTCCGCTGTGCCATCACTCTGCTAAACACTTAATTATCATTTCTCATCTTTTCTCGCCAAATGATTTATCAATTGTTGTTTGTAACATGATTAATGATTGTATCTATGATTGGTGATCTATAACCTATTACTGCTTTATATGTACAGTATATACATATATACTGCGCTTATGCACTGGAGCCTAATTCCTTGTGTGTCCAATCACACTTGGCCAATAAAGAATTCTATTCTTATTCCCATTCTATTCCATTCCATTCCAAGAAAGCAAGTTTAAGAAACTCAGCAATGAAGAACTTGCTGTAACATTTTAAGATACCAAATAAAACCCCAAATATCACAAATTAGCAAAATTCAGATAGTCCTCGACTTATGATCACAACTGAGCCCAAAATTTCCTAAGCAACACAATTAAGTGAAATTTGCCCTGTTTTACAACCTTTCTTGCCACAATTGTTAATTGAATCACTGCAATTGTTAATCTAATAACATGGTTAAGTTAATCTTGCTTCCCTACTGACTTTGCTTGTCAGGAGGTCACAAAAAGTGGTCACATGACTCCGTGATACTGCAACCATCATAAATACATGCCAGTTGCCAAGCATCCAAATTATGATCATGTGTTCTTGGGGATCTTCCACAATCTTAAGTGTGAAAACCAGCCATAAGTCATGTTTTTCTTTTTTCTTTTTTCCAAAAATTTTATTAATTTTTAAAAACAAACATACAGACCAAACACAAAACATAAAAGCATAAAACATCTTTTTTGAAAGCAGCTTGAAAGCCAGGTTACATCTCTTTGTACAGACATACATTCAAATTCATGCTCACTTTTATATACAATTCCATATCTTATTACCATTCTAAATTTTCTATATAGCTTCTCCCCTCTTTTCACTCTTAATTCTATTTTATTTATTTCATCTCAATTTAAATCATTATACTTACATCCTTTGTCTGTCCTGTTTCAACTGTCTATTATCTTTTCTCATTAACACTAAATTTCTCCTGTAATCACTGATTGAAGAATGACACCTTTATATCTTTCTCCTAAATTTAACACTTAATATAATACATAACTTTCATTCAGATTCTGCTTAGTACATTTTAAAGCTACACACTATATTTTTTTAAAAAATATAAATATATAATATAATTAAAACAACAATTGATACCAGTTAAACTGTATCGTTAAAATTAATATTCATTTAAATCTTAAACATTTTACACATTCCTTTTCAAATAAGTATCATGCTTCTATGGAAACCCTTATAAATTTTGTGTAATTACTTCCCCCCATTTCACTTATATTTTAAAAAATTATGTAATTAAAATGTTCCCATTCCTTTTTAATTCAATTCTCTCATATTTCATTTCATTTATTTTGTTCAAAAAAGAAAAAGTTTCACTAAATTACAATGAATATTTTATCCCATTTTATAATCATATGTTGTTCCATTTTTCTAACATTATTTCTAATACAAATACAACAATACAGTCTATATATACCTTTGCAGAATCTCTTTTTCAGTTATATTTTACCCATTATCTCTGAATAAATCCTGTTTCTTTACATCTTGTTTCAAACCCTTGTAGCTTCTCTTCCCTTCCTTCCTCCCTTGCTTCTTCACGCCCTTTTTACCCCTTGTCTCTCCATCTCCATTTCTCTCTTTTGTATTCCTCTTTTCTGTTGCTTTCTGACATTATATCCACTTTTCACCTTATTTTTCCCTTTTTTGGTTGTTTTTTTTAGGTCTTAAATTCTCCATTCTCTTTCCCCTCTTTCCCCTTTCTTCCCCAGATAAAGTTACTTGTTCATTAAAGATGGCTTCTTCTTTGTCCCAATCTTCTTGTTCTTGTAGTTTCTCATAGGTAGAAATCGCGATTTCTAAAAAGTGGAAACCAGAGCCAAAAGTGCCCTTCCCTTCTTGTTCCTCTTCTTTCTATTTTTTAAATTCAATTTTCAGTTCATCCACAAGTGATGCCATTATAAAAAATATTTTTAAATAACCACCGAAATATTTTTAATCATTAAAATATAATTTCCAAAAGTCCCGAAGTCACCAAGCAGTCCAAATGCACACAAGCTGTTTCATTTAACACTTTCCTCTTTTTTCACTTTCTCTTCTTGGGGTTTCAATTCAGTTACAAAGTTCCAATTAAAATGTATCTTTTAGAAGTCTTGTTACAAATTAACTTTCGATTCTTTTAAATTCCAAGCAATCTCCTCCAGCCAAATCTTACTCTTATTCTTTTCCTCTCCCTTCCCACTTGCAGCAAAAAAAAAGTTTTTTCAGTGTTCAGTGTTTAAATCTTTATTGTCCCCCTGGCTTTAATTTTCAGTTTAATTACTTGCTGATGCCAAAGCAGGTTTTTCCGATTTCTCATTCATCTGCTGTCACCGTAAGGAAGGAGAGTGAGAAAAAACAAACTTTCCCTTTTCACTTTCATTCGCTGCTTCCGGATCTTCCTTGGGAACAATGAATCTTTTTTAAGGTTTAAATTCCAGGATATCTTGAATGTTGCTTCTTATCCCGGTCAGCCAAAACTTTCACTTCTTAGCTTCCTCCTGCACATTCTTTTCCGGATGAGTGCTTCTTTGAGGTGGCCATTTCTGACCGCCGCTCTACCGCCTTCGGAAAAGGGAGTTAAGCCAGCTGAGGAGGGGAGGTGCGGACTCCCCTCAAAACCCCGCTGGGTCTTCCCTGTCTTCAGCCACCTCTACAGGGTGACTTTAGCCCCGAAGCCGGCTGGCTCGGGGCACTCCAGTGGCGAGCGCAAGCAGAAACTGCACACGATCGCGAATTCCTGCTGCCGGAACTTCAAATGGTCACTGAATGAATGGCTGTAGATCGAGTACTACCCATAGGTATTTCACAAAATGCATTGGTAGAATTCAAAGAAGTATACAGAACCAGGCACAAATTAAATACCCCTCCAAACTCTATACGTAGATAAAAAAAGCTCCAATAAACTATACATTGGCTTAGGGAAGAC